GTCACTGTGCTATTGTAGACTCCTCTCAATTTCTATTCCTTTTTTCCCACCTACTGTTTTGTCCTGCACCCATTTAGCTTTTTTTCCATGTTCTGACGTATGTATAGTACCTTGGTGTCTGTCCTATTCACTGTGAAAAGAGGTCTTGTTTTCTGTCCTAGACAAATTAATTCTTCATACCTTTACTCTTGTAAGATGAATAACCAGACACACCAGTGTCCCTAATTGAAAGTGTGATGTTTATATCTTAGTGAAAAGGGTGAGTAATGGAATATTGAAGTTTCACACACTGTTAACTTAGTTTTATGAAGAGTTTTGAAGTTTCTTCATCCTTTTGTTCAACTCTTGACTGTTTTCATAGAAACAAATTATTAGATGACATTAGATTACTGGTTTACATTATACAGAATAAATAATTTGAAAGTATTACTAATTAATAATTATTGTTAAAAGTCAGTTAAGCAATTATAAACTTTCTTTTACCTCACATACCAGTCAGTATGAAATATTTGAATCTGTACCATGCCCTGAGATTTAACTGCTAAAAATACCATTAACTCTTGCCTAATTGTAAATAGGCAATGATTACATAGGATTCTGCGTTTTCCTTTCCTGACTATTCACTGTTGCCGTGTGCTCACAAGGTCATTCTTCATTTCTAATCTTATTTAAGATGATGTCTATGATCTCAAGAAGATCATATGGATTTTAAGGAGACGTTTTAATACCTCTTTAATGGAAGCCTAAAAAGCATTGCTTCTGTTTCACTGAATAGCTCTGAGGAAGAATTTTTTTGGCAAAAGTCTTAGCTCTCCTTTCCAGTCAATGAACATATGTGTGGATGAGGAATTTTCTGAGTTAGAGGCATGGAAAATGCTGACAGCTTGGCAGCAGCTTTGAGTTTTTCAATAAAATGATAACTCCTTTTGTTCTGTTCCAGGAAGCAGCTTCTAAAACACTGCTCTGAATCTTGCATTTAAGGGGCCTAGGAGCTCTAACTTTCCCTCTGTTTGGCATCATGTAGATAACAAATGTGATAATGGAATTACAAGCTCAGAGGACATTTTTTTAGCCAAACCATCGCAAATTCAATCAGGGTAGAATACTACCCTGTGCAAAGAGAGGGGAAAGTGAAACTAAGTAAAATATTAATAGACAAATCTACAGCTGACAGATTTTTTGTTAGATTTTATTTTAAGCAGGTAGTTGGAGTCAATGGTGCAGCACTATCTTTAACCTGGAACAGCATAAATGGTCAATCAGGATACTCAGAGCACTTCTTCACTGGTACAAAATTTGTTGCCTTCCAGAGTTGTCACCATCTTTTATTAATGAGTAGTTGTAAAGCATTTGAAGAACTTAAAGCTATTAGACTAGTGAAAAGCATTTTATTACTGTCATTGTTCATTTGAAATGCTAATTAAAGGCATCAGAACAAAATAATTTGTGTCAGTTTGCCGGTCAAACTTCTTTATTGTATTAATCATTATATTAAAATATTATTTTACATTAAAATATAGTGCTTTTCAGACAAGGTTTATTCAGTTCACCTTGGTTGAAGATGACACTGAAAATGAAGCTTGGTTTGGGTTTTTTGCAAGTCACATACAAAAAGTTACATGCAAGTTATGCAAGTCACAAAGAAAAACTTACTTGGATAAAAAGGTTTTCTGGCCAGACATTTCAGAGCTGGTATCTGCCATCAAAATACTTATTCAAGTTACTTTGCAACTCTGAAGGGAGGGATCCATCTTTCAAAAGTTAAATTTGGCTGTATACTCAGTGGAGGATATAGATGATGAAGATGATTATTACCTAACTTGGGCACCTGCTTTGACTCACCTGGATTGAATCTATTTGTTTTTTCTTTACTGATTACATGAGAAGAGTTGCCTTGACCAATGGCTCAGTTTTAGATGGATTTACTGTGGTTAGATGAGTCCTAATTTTTTTCTTCTAAACTTCTGGATAAAAAAAGAGGAGCTGATCAGAACTGGGGTCTAATCCTAAACCAAAATTCTGGCGTATAGAATGAGTGATGGTTCTGACAGTACTGGAAAAGCTGTTTCACTGTATTGTTTATGTGAGGTTTGCAGTTGCAGAGTAGGGGATTGTTGATGTTTACTAATGAAAAATATAACTCCTATGTAATTCTGATTTGTATTCTTGAAGATCATTAATTGTTTGCACATTTGTAATTGATAGCTATTGTGTGAAGAATATGTAAGTCTTTACACTTAAGATACACCAAAGTAATCTTTCTTTATTGTAAGGCTGAGAAGTGTGTTGAATTAACTTGGGTCAAATACAATGCAGTGCTTTCATTACACATAACACATCACTCAAGTGGACCTAGTTTGCAGTATGTTTTAAAAGTTCAATTAGATTTACTAACAGTCCAGACCCAAAATATATAATATCTATTCTCAATCAAGATAGAAAAAAAAACCTAGAAAAAATACCAGATGAAACCCTCAAATAAATTGTGTTGTGCTGGAAAATTACCCTTACTTGAACTTTTTCTGTTCCTTTTGCTTACCTTTACGTAGTTTTGTCTATTTAGTAACCTGCAATGCTAGCAAAGTGTTTCTGAAGTTTTCATTTCTTTCTCTTAAAAAGTAATGCCAAACTCCAGTGTAAAATATTTCTGGTTTCCTGTCAGACAGCACTGGTAAACTCACAAAAGACCCCAAATCAGGTGTTTTCAGGGCTGGCCTGACTCTGCCTTCAATTGAGTGAAAACCAGAAAGGATATTTTATTGACTCTTTTATATGGGTACTTGTGTGTATGTTGTGCTAAGAAAAAACAACAAGGATAGAAATATTCTGCAGGGCAGCTTTATATTAGGCTTTTTAAAAGCATAGCTCCACCTTAGAATATACTCAGATGCCACTATTTAAATTTTACAGTGACTACTGACATATCATGAACTACAAATTTTAATGAAGATTTATGTTTTTCACTGAGCACACTACTTCATTTGAAATTTAATTGTGAAGTGTGATAGTCTTTATTCCATTCATGGTCAATGTAATAATATTAAGCCAGTTTATTAAAAGGTTGCTGTTTTTCAACATCTTCTTAGGTAACAAGATTTTCTATTTGATTTGAATATGTATAACAAAAATGACTAGAGTGTACAAGTCAAGCTTCTGTTCTTAAGCAGATGTTCAACACAAGCTGGAGCTGGAAAAGAGGTGGAACTAAAAGGAAAAATACAGCTACCAGTGGAGCCACAGCTGAGTGTTTCATGTTTGTTTGTGTAAACTCAGCTTAGACCACACATCGGACTGTAGCCTATACTGCTTTATCCTGAATGTATTGTCTGCAGTGTTACCTGTGGCTGGATCCTCCTGGCAGACAAAAGGTTTTCTAAGCACAGTTTGTGGCCTGAAGTGAAATAACTCTGTGGACTGAACTCAGTTTCTGGGAACTTTGTTATGAAAGTTCCTTCCTAGAAGGTGTGAGTTGAGATTCAAGAAGGCTCTTCTGGTCCCTCTGAAGAGCACAGAAACACATGGCTGGTACAGGAGAGTCATATATTCCTCTATTTCCATGCTACACATTCACTTGTGGGTTACAAATATAAGAGTATATTTTTTTCATGCATTTCAATTGTTAAAAAAAAAATTGAAACATTTGGCCATGTAAAAGAAAAATTATATACCTCTTTATTAGATTAAACATTTATGAGTGTTAGAATGAGACTAAATTTATTTATTTAGGCTATGAAATCCATTTTGTCTTGCTATCCAAAACATTGGACTAGTTTATGCTTGCTCTTTCTGCTGTTGCACAAATGTGAAAAAGAAAGAAGGCAACTGGATTTGCCCCCAAATTCAGCAATATCAGTTTTCCAAAACTCTTATGTGGTAGCCCAACATCCTTCCTTTTCCTTTCTGTATATGAAGTAAGGAGGAAAAAATAGCTCTGTAGGTATTTCATCCTCTCCTTCACTGGTATGTTTCTGATGAGAGACTTGTTCAAACCTGATTGACACTGGCAATCTATGTTGATTGTGGTGAAACACATTAACATTTATAAATAATATATATATGCAGACTTATGCTATGCAATATATATAATGAAATGAGTATAAAATCTAGAACACATGTAGAGGGTGTTCAAAAATCTATGTATTCCATATATTTGCATCTGGACATATGGTGTACCTGCTACTAAGATTTTTTTACTTTACCAAATTCACTAATTCTAAATGATCTTTGGGAATAAAGTCAACAAGAGAGACTAGGGAAAAAAAAAGTCTTTTTTTGTAAATCTTCGTATCTAAGATAGATACTAGCCTACAGTTTTTACAGAACAAATTTTAGGATGAGAATTAAAAGGAAAAAAAAATGGGCTGCTTTAAATAATTCTCTCTTCAACAACACCCTTTAAGTCTTTGGTTACAATTTTTTAAACCATAGCTCTGAGGTCAACAGTGGCTGTGTTTGTATTAGTTTTTTAATTTGGATCAGGACTGTGCTTTGAAATGAATTTCTGGATCATGTGCACTTATCATGCTTTGGTTCACATCACTGAGTGGTCTTGGAGTACACAAGCTGTATTCCTTTTGGATTAAATTAAATTGGAAAATGTGCTACAGGAGTCCAGTTTATGCAGCTCAGCATGTAGTGCTCAGTCTGCATATGGGACCAATTTAGGACTAGTGGAGGTTAAGACCTCTGAAATGCATGTATTGTGCACTAACTGTTAAACTCTACAGTTCTGTTCTTACTGCATTGCAATGCTTGCTAATATGGTATGAACTGAACAAATTAATTTTTGTCTGAGACAGGACCTTTGCTTGTCTTCCAGACAATATTTTTCCTCTGCAGCATAGGTTTCATGGGATTTTCACATTCAGGAACTCACAAGTTTATTAAAACAAGAGAAATCAATGTAGGATGGAAGCACAGAAACAACTTATTGAAGTGTGAATATAGATGTTATGGCAGAAAATATTAAACCTAACAAAACGCTATTTTTTTTTCCCCAGGAAAGAACAGTAACAATTAGAAGACAGACTGTAGGAGGATTTGGATTAAGTATAAAGGTAGGATGAATTTTTTTGTCTATTATTCCACGTTACACAGAAAGTGTCTTAGTGTATAGTTAATGTGGCTTTTAATGAGGACAAACTATGTTTTAGAGGACTAGAAACAAGAGAGCAAATGTATTCCAGGATGTTAGTAGGCAAGCAGCAACTACACTGCCCTATGGAATGGAAGGCAATGGAAAGATCATTCCCTTAAGATTCAAGCTGAGCAACTCTGTAACAAGATTTAATATGAGAATTGAAAAGTGTTTTCAACTGCATAGATCATACTTTTGTTCAACAGTACTTTCATTTAAGTGGTTATTAATGAATGCTAAATTACAGTGGCAGTCACATGGAACAGCCTATAAGTTCATTATCAATTCTCCTACAAAGGGTATCACATTAATTCACTGCAAATGCTGTTTCTTTCTGATATTATTTATTTTGCTGTATATCAAGCAAAGGCAGCAATTTATCATGTTACCATATTTTTGTTTTATTCAGTAAGTTTTAAGAACATATGTAAGTGTAGGTGATTCTTTTTGAGGGAGGGACGGATGAAGAGAGGGAGGAAGAGATAATAATTTTTGTCATCATAATCTATGATTTTGAAAACCTTACCTTAGTTTTGAATCTCAGTGTAGACAACACAACATTAATTTCATCTTCTAAACACAGCAGTCCTCAGTCTCAAGATAGCAATGGAAGAAGTGAAGTGTACTTCACATGACTGCAGAGAGGCTTAAATTATGCATATAAAGCGAGACTATAGACTTTCCTGTGAACGTCTGCTAGTACTGACCTTATAAGTAGTGACTCAGAAGCGGGATTAATGTGCATTTGTGTTGTCATTGATAAGAATATTGCTGTATAGAAATACTAGTTCTTAAAATATGTCTTGGTACACTTGCTGTTATCTTCTTGACCCACCAAAGACCTCTATTCAAGGAAAACTAATTGCTATTTTGTGGCCAAAGTCTCTCATGAGTTTAGTCAACATCACAAAAGTTATTTTCCTCCAATATCGTAATGGGTTACAGTTCACTGCATAACGATGAAGTAATGCATGTCAGTGTAAAATCAAGTATATGGGTGAATGAGGTTTTATTTAGCTGGGGCTAAGAAATAACTGGTTATAGTAAGGACTTTTGAGGTTTGAAGAGCAAATCTCAACAAGAGTCACTAAAATCAATTTTTTAGTTATATGTATATATAATGGGTTATCTTTTAGAATGAAAATTGCTGACAAACTCAAGATCACATTATTTAAGTAGGAGGCACATTGTATAAAATAAAATATCATTGAGAAATATAAATTAAATAATGAGTGTGCAATGGTCTTTCTTAAATTAGTGGAGCAAGATATCTTAAAGTTTTAGAGCAAGATATTCATTGTTCTGAAGAAAATTCTTGGAAGTTGCAAAACAGATTGCAAATTCAGCCTAGAAGGGAATTTACCTTTGTTCTTTTTAATAAGATCCTGTTTCAATAGGAAAAAATAACAATAAAAATATATTGAGTTTTATTGAGGTTTATTTTATTGCATAGATATTTTGATCAAAATTAATTTAAGTAGTGGAAAGGTGAAGCTACATAGATTCGGGCATGAATAGTTGATTTCTTTTTAATTTTTGGAACAACTAACAATCAGGTGATGGAATCTCTTCAGCAGATGTAATTAAATAGAAAAGATATCTCTTTCAACAAAGGTAACTCAGACTTACTCAGACGGTGTAGATAAGATAATGAAAATGCTGAGTAGAAATTTATTAGTAATCCAACAGAAAGATTGACAAGGAACTGGATAGCTAACACAATCTAAAACAAATAATTAATCAATATAATCTGCTATTATCATTTTAAGCTAGTAGTAAGAAACAACTTGGAACTGGAATTCAAAGTAATGTTTTCTGTAGTTTGGTAGGCAAACTTTACTAAGACTCACTGAAACGGACTTTTTAGGTATGCCATGAAGTCTCTATGTCAGTTCCAAATATTCTGAAAAGTGCCAGTGTTCTGTTTTAAAAGGTAATATTCAATCATGGGATGATTCCTTTTGCAGATGAGTAACCGTTTGTTACTTTGTTTTGGTTTGGAAGATTCCTGATCTTTAAATAAAGGCCTTATATTTATTATTATTTTTGAATAGAAAAGTAATTATTTTGTAATAGTGCCTTAAAGTAGAGGTCTACAAGTCACCCTGTAGCAGTGAGGAGGACTGCGGCCTTTCCTCCTTGTTTCAGTATCTCCCACAAGCCCATGCACTTCCATAGTTCCTGTTCTCTTGCTACTCTTAGATTATTTAAAGATGGGGGTTATCTGGAGGACTTACTTTCTGGCAGTGGTGTATATCAGAGGATGCAGTTTATCTGAGGTGTGATTAATGACCCTCACTTTAAAATATTTTCTTGTGCTTTGATATGAATTTGTCTAGCTTGGGCATTTAGCTCTAGGGAATTATCATGCCTTTTTTTCTGCTAACTTAAACAATCACTTGCTATCAGAAATCTCACACGGTCAAATCACCTTTTAACTTTCTTTTGAGTAAATTTCGGAAGTGTCTTATCCCACCTTAAGTATTCTGGACCCTTAGATTTTTTTTTTTTCCCCTGAAGAGCAGAAGATTAATAGTCCAAAATGTGTTAATAGTTCCAAAATTAACATTTCTAGTTGTCTTTTGTGACTTGTCTATGATCTGAACTCTTTTCCTGTGTTATAACCTGGGTGCTCCAACTATATTTATAAAAATCAGAGTTTCAGCTAACTGCTTAAAAAACCTGCTTGTGAGATTGATTTTTGCACAAGATCTGAACTTAAGCCCTTTAAAAATTGCTTGTAATCCATTCTTTGAAGGTTTGAAAGAACAAAAAAAACCCCTGTTTTGTGTTTTGCTGTACTTCATTTTATTGAAGTTAGTGGTAAATGTGTGGTGTGGTTGAATTTGAAACAGAACTGATCTGTTTAACACTCTTCAGAAGGAATTATTTTCTAATTTCTGAAGCCCCTTTAGAACGCTCAGTAATAAACCTCTGTGTGTGAAGGAATAGCCATGGAGTTAGATATAGAAATTCATAAATGCAATGTAGTATTTCAGTCATTTATCACATCTCTGACAAGTTTGAGATGCTGAGATCTGACACAAAAAGCTGGTAAGTGTATGACTTCTGAAAGAACATCATGTTTCCTGATAACTGGAGTGTAGTGTTCTTGCAGAAGTAGGCAATAAAATTGATAGTTCATTAAATAAATTAAGGTTTGCAGTTACAGGCTGACTCCTGGCTACCAGGACTCTCTACAGTGCCATTTTCCTGCCTCTGTTTTGATCATTCTTTTAAAATGATGAACAGAATTGCAGATCTGCTAAGATTCAGTTTGACATTTCAAAGTTTGACTCAATCAAAAAATCTCTAAAGCAAGCATGTGCACCTGTCCTTCTCACACTTAGGTACACACTTAGATGATTCTCTTCCTTTTCATTCATTCTGTGATATTCTTTTATTAACAGAATTTCTGTTTCAAATTGAAACAATTAAAAAAAAAAGGCTAGAAAGCTTTAATTAATAGATGAATCATCTAGCTTTTAGTTTAAAAATCTTTTAATCTTTAAAGTCTTGTGTACTTGCAGAAGCGGTGTTGAATGCATCTTGGAAGTGGCGTTTTGGTTCCAGCTATGCTATTGTATCGAAAAGTTAAAAAATGCCACTTAACATTGGCACATTATTGTCTACATTGTTTAATTGCTAACATGATTCCTGGCACAGTTTTGGCTTACACCAACTAGTAATCTCTAAGACAGTCCATAAACACAGTTCAGAGCTTACATGGACTGCTTCCAATAGGCAACATCTATAAAGTCACCCTTCTTCAGTTGGGAAAATAGTTTATCCGCATAGACGCAAGCCATATAGTGCCACTAGATGTTAAAGCTAAAACAAACCATCCCGTTTTCACTAGCGGAACAAATGTTGCCTTTTGGTATGAAATAAAAATGTTCCCTACATCGTCTAACTCTGAGGATATTGAAGTGCAATGATTGGTCGGATTTTTTATAGACTCTGTGCTTAGAAAAACAAAATAGTAGTTTTCTTGTCATACTTGGAGACAAACACAAAGCCAGTATTTGTCAATAAAAGTTACTAGTTTCAGTTGCCCTATTTTTCATATGACTAAAACTTCAGAAAAAAATGGCCATACATAAAAACTGGGATAAGAAAAAATCTTTAGAACTGTATCTTGTGACACTCTGAAAGGAGCTGTGGGTGACCTCCCTCCAATAATGGCCAGCATCCAGGATAGTGAGCTTTAAACAGCTGCCAGAGATTAGAGCTTCCTCTGCCTCTTCTAGCAAGACTGCCTCTGCAGGTGGGCAGAAACCTTTATTCCAGACTCATCCTTGATTGCTTAAGGAAAAATTACAAAGAAAATTTGCACTACAAACATCGGTGTTAAGAGTCTGGTAGAGGTCTGGGCTGTCAAGTCTTCAACACCATTACCTGACATATTTTTGTTCCCTCCTCTGGTCTGAGGTTATAACTACATGTCCACACTAGAGGGAGGGAAAATTTAAGGCAGTGGAAAAGTGGCCTCTGTTCCCAGAGCTTTCTTCAGTAGAGTATCTTCTGAGCCTATAAACACAGAATTTAGACACGCATACACTTCTTCTTCTACAGGACAGAGAATCAAATATGGAGGATGTGGTATGCAAGGCTGCAGTGTCAATCTGAAGTAGTATTCAACAAGATGTTGCAGAATATATACAGCTTTCTTAGTTTGCTGCAAATTGCTAATGATGACTGGGTATAGATAGGTGGCCAACTGTTTTCTCTTTCCTGTTTTGAATTTTTGTTTCTTAGAATACCAGGCAACACCTCCCATGACTAATTTAAAAGGAATCATTCATACTGGCCAGACTGGGATTCAGTGAGAGATCATTTGCTTCAGTAGGACATTACTGAATGCTTCTTTAAATCTGCAGTGTAAATAGATATAAGTAGATATACTGAGTGAGAGAGGAATAATCATGTTGTGTGCATTGCAGGCTGGCTTAGTAAAACCAGTAATTTCCCCCTTTACCAGAGAGCTGAGTCAAAGGAGGGAGGGAGGCCATTTTACTGAGAAAAAAAGGACCTGTGTTAGCTATGCTGAGCTTTAAACCCTACACTCCTTCACTGAGCTTCAAATGTACTGGATAGCGCAATCTCTGTGAAACATTGGAGGCACACTAAATGTGTGTGTGACTGAGGAAAAATCTGGAGGGTGTAGGTTAAGCCTTTTAAATTTAGTGAGCTTGACCTGATTATCTTAAGTGAAGCTAACTTTTACTGTTGCTGTTCCTCTGGTGAAAACCATTGAAAGATATTCAACAAGTTATAATGCTACAATTTATTTAGTCTGAATACATCTCTAAGCCTGACTGAAATGAAGGTAGCCTCATGTTCTTTGTGGAGTGAATACTCAGTCCATGCTACAAATATCAATATGTTCTGTGCCTGTCAACACTCATCTTCTGCAAAGCCTACAGAAGTTCTACAAACTTTTCTTGTAGACATATAATTGTAATATTACTAAGATCCCTATTAACTCAGTGTTTTTAGGACCATTTGCATTGATAGCCCCTAGCAGAAGGAATTTTACTCCTATTGAAAACTCTACAGTTTCACAGGAAATTCATCTTTAGTCCGACCGAAACAGCTGTTGAGTGCAGGAGTCTGTTCAGTTTTAAACAATTGGTTATTGCACAAAGAAGGGGTACGTACTGTTCTTTAGACCATCAAAATATCCCTGTCTGTCCTTTCCACACCTCAACACTGGATGCCTAGACCTAGGAAAGCTGTGGTTTCCAAAGAAAAATCTGGCTGCTGAAAGAAGAGTAAGCAAACCTTTAACCAGCATTCCTAGGCAAAATGACAGTGTGGCATACTGTCATTTCTGTTTATCTGAATTCGTACAGGTTACATTCAGGCTTACACTTTGATGTTCTCTACAGAGGAAAAAATATTTATGTCTCTGTGTATATTTGTCTTTCTCTTCCATTGAGTTTCCTTTTTATTTAAGGTTTCTTTTTAATACTTTATTCTTAAGCACCATGAACATTTCCAGTCCCAACAGGATAAATTGAATAAAGCAACAGCACTGAATTACCGTTGAACTGTTGAATTACAGTCCAGCTTTCCTTTAGTTCCCCCCATTTATTGAACACCTACTGTTCCATTTCTTAATGTTTCTTTTTCCATTCCTTGTTGCTTATCCCACTGCTTTGCTCACTCTTTGTGCTCCTGTGACAGAGACGGAAACAAATAAAGGCTGCTTTTGAGATGAAAAGTCCAAACTAGCTTTTCTTGGGGTTTTGTTTACCTGTTTCTTGCCAGCATGAAAACTAAGTGGTCACAGCGTGGCTGCCATTGTAGTGGGATGGCCATTTTGCTTTTGTAAGGCACGATTTCATACATTAAGCTCTCCAGAATTCACCGAAACTGGTTCTTCAAGTTTTGTAGAGTTTTGAACAACATTTGATTCACTTCCTAAGCTGATGATGGCAACTGAGAACTTCTTTATGAGAGTCAATTAGGAATTAATCCTAATCAAATTTTTATTAAAAAGAAAAAAAAGAGGAAATGCAGAATCAGAGTTATTTTCTCAGTCTCTCTGAAAACTGCAGTTCGAGAAAGGGTAAAATATAATTTTAAGCAAAAAGATATTTCCAGTGACTGATGAAATTGCCATTTATTCTGTTTTCAGGGTGGAGCAGAACATAATATTCCAGTGGTCATTTCTAAGATTTCCAAAGAGCAAAGAGGTGGGTGTCAGATTAGTATGCTGTGTTTTGACTTGCTCCTTAAGGCAAGGTGCATTGAGTCTTGAGATTCTTCAGGAGTGTTAAACAGACACTGTTGGTGTACCATAAAAATGTTTAACAAATTTAAGAAAAGTTAATTATTTTGTGTCTTTTGTTTCCAAATGGTTATTGCCAGGAAGCTGTAGCAGATTAAATGTTTAGCCATTAAAGCATGGTAACACAAGAAGAGAATGCATGTCTTTTTATGCTGGTTAGTAGGGTCGTACTCAGAGAGAGGTGGGTAATGGCAGAACCTTGATAACACCCCAATGATATTTCAGCATTAGATGCTGTGCTGTGTAAGCCTTTGCGGCAACTCATACATAGCAAAACTGGTACTGCATAAGGTCTTAAACATACTTATTTTTAATACAAGCAGAGCTGGTGCTGAATGTCTGTATTTTTTATAACTGGCAATGTTTTGAACTTACTGGAACGATATAATATGTGCTAGGAGGATGGATAATGGTCAAACGGCTCATAATGTACACATTGATGAGAGGTGAAGATTGTGAATCAGTACTAGTATGGTGTATTTAATATCTCTGTTATATTTGTGTATATTTGTGTACATTTGTGAAAGGTCGGAAATGTAAACTTGGAAGCTTTTCCCTCTATCTGTAATACAATCATTCTAGGATACTGCTTCTGCACAACTAACATGTGCCAGCATAAAAAAATCTCATATTCACCCACACAGATAAAGAGAGGTACAGGGGAATCAGCGGATTGAGAACTGAAACGTAGATATGAGAGTTTATGTAGGGAGGCTATAGAGTAGCATGGAATGAGCCCCTAAGGAAGGCAATAAGGTTAACCTTAAGAAGTTATACTCATGACTCTGTTGTTTTCAGTATACACATAAGTATGTAATACATAGTAATGTGGCATGTATTACCTACACTAGCTATTAAAATGCTATTAAGCATTGCAGGAAAAATAAGAAAGATAGACTTAAGTTTAACTGAGCACACAAAAGTGTGCACTTTTTTCTTTTATTTTGTCATTTTTTTTCTGCAGTAGCTGATGCATTATTTCTAACCTCAATACCTAGCTGAGATATAATCTCCATTACCGCTTTCAATAAAAATACTGCTGATTTTTAGAGAACTAGTTTTGAGGGACATCTCTTGTGTAGGAGACTACTGTCTTGTGGTGTAGAAAGTGTCATGCCATGTGTCTGTACTAGGGACCTTTGATACAGAAAATGCTGTTTGACCCAGAGCCTGTACATCAAAGCTCTGCAGGCTTGGTTCTGCCCTCCTCCCAATTGACTCCATCTCTTTCTTTGTATCTCTAAACAAGAATGTGACAGCTGATGCAATTCTTAAAGCCAGAGATGGACCTAAGGTGCTTAGGCTAGCAAATTAGGTCATGTACAAAGTGCTAGTACATGCAAGCCCAGTGGCTGAAGAAGAATATTGAGATACGCGTTTATTTAAGAAAAAAATAAATCAGAATGTCTATCCTCCAATAATTTAAATATCCTTTGTTACATCTAGCTAATAAGACCAGTCTTTCAAACACATACTTGAGTATCATAATTATGCCAATATTGATTGTGTCAATAAATGTATGTCAATAATATTATGTCAATATGTCATAATATTGATTATGTCAGTAATTTATGCCAGTATTGATTCCAGTTATATAACTAATGTAAATAACTAAAGTTTTTTGATCAAGTCCAATGCTAGTCTTTTCTAGGCAGTACCATCTGTGATGTTGTGGAATACTATAGACAAACTCATATAAACTGTTAACATCCCTTAGTTCTCATGTTAGGTGTTATTTGTTTCTTTATAGACTCTTAAATAATCTTTGTTATATATCTTGTGTACTTATAAAGTATATTTGCATTAGATAGCTCCATAAGACAACACAATATTAAAAATTGCAACTGTAGAATTAGACTTTGTAAATTCCCTTGTGATTTACATCTTTGTTTTAAAAATCAGATTCAGTTTGGATGGTGACTTTGTACATTTACTGATTGTGTAGCTCTTCAGCACATGACATGTTATCAAGCATAAATACTCCAGTGAGTTGATCAAAGATGCAGGATCTTTGGTAAAAGCTTGCAAGTTAAATATGTCATTCATAAGTAGTTCTGGAGACTCCATGTTGCTTTTTCCTCAGAGTCTATAAGAAACAATCTCTCACAGGCAAATAGGACCCAGTCATTTTCTATTCAGAAAAGTGTGCCATACCTCACCATAATGGTCTGAAAGGTGCTACTGACTGATGGAAGATGTTTCATAGTTTTGTACTTGGCCTAGGTAGACTCTTTCATTGTAACACTGATATGCCAGTGTTTTGGGATTAAAAAAAACCAACAAACAAATAAATTATCTGGAAGTTGTATGGGGTGGCTTTTATTAGGTTTTTATTTAAATTTTTGAAAGATTATGTAAAAACATTGAATTAAATAGGAATACATGCACACAAAATGTAGGATATTTTGTACAAAATGAGTGAAAAATATGCTTTCTGTTTTCAGCGGAACTTTCAGGTTTGCTCTTTATAGGAGATGCAATTCTACAGGTAAGTAAAATCGCAAGTTCTTTTGTTTATATTTTTCTAGAAAAAATGAAATGAAATCTATACTTATGAAATGTAGAGTAAGTCTTTTCTTTATCTTTTTAATAACAGATTAATGGAATTAATGTGAGAAAATGCAGGCATGAAGAAGTGGTGAGCTTTTCTGTTTTTTAGTCTACTTTTTGTCTTTTGTAGTTATTGAGATGATAGTGTACGCTGATAGCAATTCTCTGGTATCAGTTCTATTATTGTTATTCCTAAATAAATATGACTGCACCTTCTAGCATAGCAAGCAACTAACATCTTAGTACAATCTCTTCTTCATACGTTTGTTGTAATTGCTGTTCTCAGATACGCTTTTCTATATTAAAGGTGATTATCTTATCATGCAGATTTTAACTGTACTTATTCCAGCATTTCTTCTTCTGGCTTATAGCTATCAAATTCCAACAGTGCTACACCTTTCTGGCTGTGTGAGGTCATTTTAATTTTAAAAGCTGTAATTTGCACTATGCTGGAGATTTCTTGTTTGGTTGGTTTTAATCCTATTTAAAAATTGAAACAAAACTATTTGTCTGCCTTTCATTCTCTGGCTGTTACTTATGAGGGTGCTCTTCTCCTTCAGTTAAGCTGTTATCAGTACAGTTTTAAAATAATTGTATTAAGGAGATTCCTTCTAGAGAAGATGCATATCTGATAGTTCTATGGTAGGCTGATTCCCTTGGTAAGTCAGCTTTGCTAAAAGTACCATGTACTTTTGTTATATTTGACTTTTTAACTCTTCTTAAGTACTTTCAGAAGTAGGAAAACCTGTATTTCAGAAAAGAATGCCAGAAATCAGATTACCGAAGAAATTAGCTTTAAATCCTCTGTAGCTTCATAGAATTTCTACCTGCATTTTAAAAATAATGTAGTCATGTTGTATTTGAAAGTTCACTTTTCTAAAACTTACTTTGCCGAGTCAAAGATGCTCTACATTTCGTACAGCACTCTGTTATGTGTCAGATCATGGAACGTATCCCATTCAGGTGTAGAAAGCAAGAGTGAATAAAGATGAAGTTCTGATAAACAAGTTAGTGCAGGCTGACATTAGATTAGATCCTTGCACTATTCCTCCTTTCAGAGTGCTCTTGTGCACTGGTTTCGTGTTGGAAATCTGTGCTGCAAGTCATGCTTCAGAGCTTACATCATACCCAGGCTAATACTTGTATTTATAGTACTTTTAAGCTTTGATCGTGCAACAGTGATCAGATTTTAATCCTTTATAAGCTTGCCACAATTGTTTGTTTTAATATGTGTTAATATGGTAAATCTCACAATGGGATTTCAATAAGCTGTTGGAATTTCAATACATGAGAAAAAGTTATTACTAAAAGTGTAGATTTGCAAACACAAAGGCATACTGAAAACTGGTAAAAACACCAGTTGTTTTTTTTTCTTTTTTCTGAAACAATCTCTTAACCATTGCAATAAACATAAATCCGTTGGCTTTTTATGATCAGCTTTAAATACTTTCATGGAAAAAAAGAGATTTTGGAAAAGCCAAAAGATGCAGGTTGACATAGAGTAGTAAGTGTCAACACGTTAAATTTTGCTTTATACCTTGTTTGTTGAACATAAGCTGCTTCTGAAATTCCTTATAGATAATTCTCTCTAAATAATAATAATAAAAAAGTATCTCTTACCAGTTTTGAATGTGCATTTGTGTGTGTACAAGTGTTTTAGGGGTTTAAGAAGCAGATAAATTTTAAATTAAGTCTTTGTTCTAACTAATAATAATTCTTAAGATATAATAGTAAATGTTGAGTGATATTTAAGATAAAATGTCCATATGACTTTTAAGAAGCAGATAAATTTTAAATTAAGTCTTTATTCTAACTAAGAATAATTCTTAAGATATAATAGTAAATATTGAGTGATATTTAAGACAAAATGTCCATATGACATTTTACAAACTAAAACATGCAGAGGAGTTACAAATATAAACTATAAAATAAATATAAAAACCAAAGTAAATGAACTCTGATAAACTCTTTTGTTCAAAACATTCACTATCATATGTTATATATTTGTGGAGTAAATTTGTTGTAAAGCCTGCTATAGTAATGATAGATACAGTTATGCATTGTGCAGTAATCTGTGGGTTTAGGCATAGCCCTGAGTAAAGGGCAGGTACATCCTCTGGTCTGCCAGCAGGAGTTATAGGTGTGATTTTGTCTGCAGCATGCCCTTTGCAGTTTGAGTTGTTCTAGCACTTCTGTCTTGCAAGGTCTTTATCAAATATAGGATCTGTAGCTGTAATCTCAAGGTAACAGAGAAAATAGGAAGTGTGTGGAACATAGTTCCTCACAGCAGGGAGTCAAACAGTAGTGGAAACAATTTTCAATCCTTATTGCATCTAGGTACTTTTCAAATGGCTATGCAAGGTACATGAGCTCAGAGCTGATTTTTTGTGTAAGTAATTAAGAATTAGCAGGTATCACATTATTTGAGAATATTGTAGTGTTTTGGGTTGTCTTAATGTCTCATAAAGTATTAATCGTAAACTAGCATGGAATTGTTTTCAATGAGTAAAGCTGAAGATACCCATAGACCCATTCAGACTTGCATCTGCAGTGTGCATCCTGTGAGTGTTCATTCTTTTTCTAGATCCAAAACTTCTTGCTGCTTGCAGAAACGTTTTAAGCATATGTCATATCTTCATAACTCTGCAATGAAAAGGCCTGTGACATAATCACTGCAGCCTGTTGCGTTACATTGATGATTAGTTGGCCTTGGTATTTCACTGTGCTTTCCTGGTAACTATATTACACATATAAAATTATTTTAATTTCAAAACTAAGTAATTTAATCAAATTAGTGCCATCTTTCATAGTAGTATAGTAGTATATACTTTCCCCAATATATAATGAACTTAGTTGGCATAACACCTGTGGGTACTCCTTTGTTGTCTTTTCTGTCTTCCATTAGTTAATGAGATCTGGTGATGGAGTATTCAGTGATGCAGAGATCCTGTTACCCAAGAAATATACTATAAACTGAAGCCTGAATCTGGTAAATAGATAGGTAGATACGTAGGTAGGCAGATAGATGATAGATAAGACTTTTAAGACTGGATAGGTAGATTTAGCCAGTTCTTAGTGTACCTTACTGGAAGCCTCTATGCAGTTCCCTCCTGATTTTTTTAGCTTTAGGTGAATCACTTAATTTTGAGCTTAGTTTTGTGCTTGTAGAAGGTGAGAATATTACTCATATCATAACAGCATGTTATGAGTTTCTATCAAAGGCTGAATGTCAGCTTGTTTTTTGTCTTGGGTTGTAAAGACTCCTGTCTGAGTACAACATAACATTGCTTCAGTCTTAGTGCTCTCCTATGATAAAATAAATACACGCTCTCTGTGGTGAAGTATCAGCATGTGAGGAGGTTGAGGAAAAAAAAAAAACCTAGAAATTTTCTTTAAAAATATCTCTCAAATGTCATACTGGCAAATTGACTCCAAAAAGCAGGAGGTAAGGAGAGTCCATTATATCTGTTAATTTACATGAGTTTGTGCTCTTTCTATTCTGGATTTATTAATTATTCCTTTTCCAATAGACTCTCCTTTACATTTTACAACAAGACTTTATTTAAAGGCTAAATTAGGACTATGCATAGATAGATCTACAAGTTTAGGCTTCTGTCTAATTAATATGGTCCAACAATGCATAACTGGTCAATACACGTGCCTAGACTTTTAAGGGCTCACAATGGATATGATTATTCCAAAGGCTGGACATGAATGTATCTGTAGTCTGGACACTAATGTATCTGTAGCCCTTGCATCCATTTATTGTGCAAATATAAAACAAAGATACGTAGGCAATCACAAACATAATGCTGTTCTTGTAGCACATCTGGACATTTTTGGTGGTTCTGGGTCTAGCCACGACACCATTAGCAATGGGCAAAATTTTGGGAGAGAGTGAGAGGCCCTGCTGTGAGCTACTTCCCTTCTCCCTCTGAGTGACTTGGAGTAGGAGAGTACGAGTCAACTCAGTTGTATACTACCAAAAATCTTGTGTTGGATCTACTGCTCTTACTGTTTCCAGGATTATAGTGCCCCAAAGCATCTTGGTCCCACAGAGAAGGAATAATTTCAGTCAAATGAATGCTGATATGTTTAAGGTTATGTCTCTGTTGTAACGTCGTGAATAAAGCATCTCAGGCAGTACCAGCAACTATGGTTATATATCACTGGGGTTTCTTTGGATCTTAGCATCTGTTTTTTTCTCTTAGGAAATAAAAATAGAATTAAATGAACATGGATATGAAATAATTTCTTATTTTTTGTATTTGGGGAAATTTAGGGAAGTTTCTAATGAAAAATGATAGTTCGTATGTGCCAGTTAATGTGGCCTTTGTGCATTCCTTGAAAAGCCACAGGAAAAGCTCATGTAGAGGTAGGTAGGTATCAAGCCAGCATAGATATTTAGACTTTGGTGGATTTTATGTAGAACTAGCTACAATATGTAGCACCAGCTACAATATGTAGCACCATGTTTCAATTCAACCATTAGCTGCGTTTTGCACAAGACACCTTTTTCCATCAGAATGACTTGATGTGGCATGTCCACACGCACTGCATTGTATCTTTTGCTTCCCCCTTTTCTCTGCATTCATAGCAGGGCTGTAACCGTGCTAGCTCTCCATGAGTCATATACATTCTATGCAACTGGCAGTACAGGGATTGTTATTGCTTAACTGCAATCATGTGCAGCAGATGAAACTCTGATTCTTTGTTTTAAAACTGTGATTTCATTCAAACTGATTTTTAAAGCCCGTTATGAATAGTTTTGTTAATGTTTTCCATAAATGTTTTAAATCAGAAGAACAAGTATATTGTATTTGTAAGACAGAATTGGGAACCGAATGATCTGAAATCTCACTCCATCTTGACTTTGCAGATATGTCTTTTGGTAAATTATGTTTTTATGTTATCTTTGTTTTCTTAACTGTGAAATAGAGACCTAGACTATTATCAGGTTTAGCTCACTGAATTATATGAAGTACTTCAGACTCTGTTATAAAAAAGGATCTTTACATTAATATTATGGTGTTTGGCGACAGTGGTAACAGCAACCCGCAAGTACAGATTACCACCTTCTCATATTAT